GAAAACAAACGTCACAATAATTATTAAATAAGCAATGTACAGCGTCTGAAAATAATTGATTAGATTCATTACTTTTATCAGTAAAGTGTAGATGATACAACAACATAACGTAATATAGAATCCAACTTTTCGTTTTTGTCTTTTCCTTACCAAGAGAAGAGAAAATTCCTATCTGACAACAGCCTTCCAGAAAGTTCCCCTCCCCCCCTCCAAAAACAAAACAAAAAATATTCGAGAAAATCCGAGATCGCAAAAACAGCCGGTCGGTCGCGTGTTCGCAGAAGGAACCAGCAGCGATGAGGCAACATTCCCTCCTCGATAAAATCCCTTGATCAAAAAGTTTTTTCTTCTTCTTTTCCCGGGCCATCCAAGCTACTGCAGGCACGGCGGAGAGAAGCCCGTCCGTTTGCGGAGGATATTCTCCCTCACACTCACACGCACACATCAGCATCTTCTCTGCCTCATACATTATGATTCAAAGCTTATCCCAGGCCACCAAAGGGATCTTATCCACTTTATCCACTCATTCCTCATCAAGATCTCTCCTTGTGTAAGGTTTAAGTGTCATCATCAAGTCTAAGAAAATAAACATCAATTGCACTTCCTCTTCAAGGGATGCACCTGAATCTGTTTTTCTTGCGCGGGAGAGAGAGTGCTAGTAACAAGTGATGTGATTAAACCCCGGGTTCTTTCAGACGAGCGCAGGCACACACTCTCGCGCGCTCAAGAATAAACGAGGGGAAGCACACATTAAGAAGTGCATGTCGACAAACACACACATCCAGACGCAAACACACAGACAGACAGACAGAAAGGCGCGCGCGCGCACACACACACACACACACACACACACACACACACACACACACACACACACACACACACACACACACACATACACACACGCTAGCACGCACGCACGCACGCTTGCTTGTTTGCTTGCTTGCTTCCCGAGAGGCGTCAGATCACCATGCAGCAGCGCACCGCCCGCCAAGCTGCCAGATAGCAGGAGACAGGAGGAATTGCTGAATCAAATGTCCTTCATTAAGTTCGCGTCCTCCCTCACCCCCGTTATCGCCACCGCACTCGCGTCTGCTGCTCTGCTTCCTGCTGTCCACACTCAGACGCGGCCACAGACATAGATACTCATACTCCGGCTAAGTATACCAAGAGGAAGGACACCAGCGAAGGATTACATACTAGGATATTTCGTTTCACAAGACATTCCGTTTCTGAGACCCCCAGCCAATCCCTTATACCCTGTCTTCGCCATGACGGGCGTTCTCCTAAGTTCAACACAGCATACTCAATTTCCCTTAACTTAACCTTCAGCTTCAAATCCTCCTCCTCCTCCTCCCCCCTCTTCACTCGTCAGCACCCCCCCTCCTCCCCCAGCGATCCATCCCCCTCAGCCTTGAAAGCCAAGTAATATCGCACTGTAAACACTGCCTCCACTACGACGCGCAGATTCCGGTGGTTGCTCATTAAACCGCCCGTTTAATTAGTTCCGAGATCGTTACGAATTATCAAGAGGGTGTTAGAGCATGGGACAAGCCGAGGACCACACATTTTCACGGTGGCCGCTTGTCAGGCATACGAAAACCAAAAGTTGGAAAACATGTGTTCTTACCCGCCTTATTCTTAAAAAAAAAGAAAAAAAATCGAAGTACTTAGCAGGATGAGTGTGTGTATGTCTACTGTTGCCATGGTAACCGGGCACTCTCTGTATACGCCTTAGTTAGCAGGAAGGTGGGTGTAGGGCCGCGTGTTGCCATGGTAACCGGGCACCAGCTTGTAGCCGCAGCTTTACATCCTTTCCCAGAACCGGTTGAGGAGAATCCTTGAAAGCGCAGACTGTGGTCGACCGACAAGAGGGATGTGTAAGCATTATTTCGAAGGGTCCGCTGCAGTTGCTGCTGTGTGGGGCTCCGGATACGAGGGTCGCTAAATTTGGTTTTAATTTTCCGTCTCATAAGGACGAGAAATATCTTCGTACGCTGTGCCCTTCCGGAAAGATGATTTGTCATTTCGACATTGGCCATCCCGCTGCACGTGATCGATCTACTGACCTTTTGCGGAATAAAGCAAGAAGAAACGGTCGGTGATCATACGGTAAAGGTGCATAATGCAAGACGAGCTCTCTCTCTCTCTCTCTCTCTCTCTCTCTCTCTCTCTCTCTCTCTCTCTCTCTCTCTCTCTCTCTCTCTCTCTCTCTCTCTCTCTCTCTCTCTACCTCCCTTCCTCTCTCCATCCCTCCCTCCCACCCTCCCTTCCTTCCCTCCCTTCCTTCCCTCCTTCCTTCCTCCCCCTTCCTTCCTCCCCCTTCCTTCCTTCCTTCCTTCCTTCCCACAGTTCCTTCCTTCCTTCCCTCCCTCACTTCCCTTCCCACAACAGAAGCGGCACCCTTGCAGTCATAAAACAAAGAAGCTCGAGGTGTTCCTCCAACTCGAACCAAACAAAGCCTTCCCTCTCTCGCCAGCCATGCGGAGCCACGAACTCGAGTTTCTCCTCAAAAGGTTCCACCATGAATTATCAATGGCCTGGAGAGGATGGCCGGCGCTGTACCCAGTCACCTCGCCGGGACCCTCTCCTCGTTCGCCCATTCATCTGTCCATCCATTTTCCACGTTTCTGTTCAGCTATCCGTCTATCTAGTTATCCACAGCTCCTAGGCATCTGCCAAGCCCATCATCTATCTTGCCGCGTCTCTTACAACAATCCGTCTAGACGTCTGTCTGTATTCCCATGTGCAATCACCACTACCACTAGCTCGTCCACGTCCACCTTCTATACAACTACCACCGTCACAACCACAACCTCCACTACCACGACAACTGCTATTACCATCACCACAACAACTACCATCAAGATTACCACTACACTTACATCTACTATCACCACAACTACCACCCCCAACAGCACCATAACCACAACCACCATAACCGCCACCACAATTACCACCGCAACTACCACCATAACCACCACGACGTCCATCCCACCTCCTGCAGCACCACCAACCCTACCAGTAGCAACATCACCCAACCGCCACCACCGCCACCACTACCACCACCTCCTCCAACACTTCCGCGGAGGATGAAATTGAATTCTCGCAGCTTACGCGTTAATTTTGAGACGTTAATCGAGACATCAGGGCAACGAGGGCGTACCCGGTAGACGTGGCGCCCCCCCCCCCCTCTCTACCTCCTCTTCCCTTCCACCCGTAGATATACTATATGTAATACTCCTTCGATGTTATGCTTCCTCCTATACGTTATTTTTCTTCTTTTTTTTGTATATATTGCAACACCCTTTCGCTACTGTTTATCTTTCAATTGCATTTTTTCACTCCTTGCTTTAATATGATCGCCAATTAGATGTTTACACTATTGGTATTACTAAAGGGGCATAAAGGAATTATCAATATCATCACCATATCATAAATATCACCATTATTATCTTTCATTACTAATATGAAATTATAACTCCTTATCAAAGTCATTAGAGTCATTTCTATAATAGTAGTAACAGTGGTAATAGTCATTATATCATGATTAAGATTATCATAATCACTAATATCCATGATGATGATGATGATTATGATAACAACAATGGGTAATTCCATACCAAACCAACCAACCTATATGTCCTGAATATCCCTAATTTTGATAAAGCTTCTCACATACGCTTCCCATGGTAAGAAAAGACTATGCACCAAATTTCAGTTTAATATCTGTAATGGGGGCCGAGAATTCAGTCTCTAAAGGTTTTCCCCGTATCACCCTGACCGCAACCCCCCAAACAGTAAAACATAAATAACTTTTGTTCTGGTTATTCTATTGGGTCCAGTGATAGCTCATTTTAAAGCTCTTGTCAAGCTCTATTCAAATATGACAACTCTATAAATTTGTATCATGGTTATCTATACATAAAGGAAGCTTTTGATATAAAATTTGCCTCAGGGGGGAGAGGTACTAATTCACAGAAAGCCAATGAAAATGAAGATGGTTTTTCAAGATTGGTATTTTTGTCATGTCGGATATGTTGGAGAACTTGTCATATTTGAACAGAGATTGAAAAGAGCTTTAAAATGAGCTATCACTGGACCCAATGGAACAACTAGAACAATATTTATTTATGTTTTACTGTTTAGGGAGTTGCGGTCCGGGCGGAACGGGGAAAATCTTAAGTAACTAATTTCTCAGCCCCCATTACAGATATTAAACTGAAATTTGGTGCATAATCTTTTCTTACCATGGGAAACAAGTTCATGAAATGTGGAAAGATTCACACATTGTATGGGGAAATTTTTGTTTTCAATTTGTTGATTTCATATGGAATTACCCCAATACTAACATCAACAATAAAAAGAATATTAAGAATTATTAAGTATAGTATTATCATTATTGTTATCATTACTATTATCATTATTATTATTATCATTACTATTATCATTATCATCATCATTATTATTACGATTATCATCATGTTTATTATCATAATTATCATCATTATCATTATTATTATCATTATCATTACGATTACCACTATTATTACTATAACCACCATCATCACTACCATCTTCATCAGGAGTATCACCATCCCCTCTCTAGTAACCAAGCTCCTCACAGGCGCGAAACAGGTTGCTTATAAGATACATTCATTCAGACACTTGCAACTCCACCCGGGCAATTTAACTCCATTAAGATTATAAATTTTCACCCGCATCTTGCAACCGACGATAAAAGCAACTGCCTCAATTACCACTTCATTGTTACCTTCGACAGAGAATCCCAATCGCCTGTGTCAACATTGCAATTTCTTCTTGTAATTGCCATTATCGTAGCAATGCAACCGGAACGTTTACCTGCTAATCGTTGTCTTTGATAATGCAAATTGCAAGTATCCCAGGCTTTCCCGAAACCTATCGACGTCGCGAATCAACAAATGCTCCACTCATAAATAATACATTTATAAGACCATCTTCTTAATTTAGAATATTGC